TGCTACCATAAAAATATTCTTACTAAATCATCGAAAGCAAGTCTTTGGTTGGTTATCCAGAAATGATCAGCATGTAGATCTAAGATCTGTTATCTCAGCGAAAGATAAAGATTTCCTTTGATGGCCTTCTGCTCTTGTAGTATCTTCCTCAAAATAGCAGCAAGCTTTTCCATGGTGGCATTAATAGACAGTCCTGTTCGTTTGCTCTTGAAGGTTTTTGAAAAAGGACCTTACTGATCATGGGCTTACTTGTGAGGTACTTTCTCACTTCCCTGAGGGCTCCTTTCATTACCGGTTAGAACTGGGGTACTTGTTCCTGAACCTTCCTCCAACCCACCCGAGAAAGGTGCCGGGGATACACAAGGTCTTTTGCTATCAGGAATTTCCTCTTCGCTGAAAAGTCCTCTTTTACCGGCCCCCGCTGGACGCTTCTTAGCTTTTGCTGAAAAAGAAAAGGAACAGTTCATTCAAAAATTGCTTACACGCCTGATAAGGACCAAATACAACAAAATCCGAAATAGTAAAAATTCTTGCTGAATTAGCTTTATTAAGTAAATGATTACTCCATAAAATTTCATCCACAGACTGCGGAAAATAGATAATTTACCCCCTGTTGGTGGGGCTATATTCATAGCGAGTCTCTGGCCGGTCACTTGCATAGAATGGATAATCCAACGCAGCTATTATACTCTCAGGTCTGTTGAAGAATGCGTAATCAAGGACCCCTAGGTAAAGGTTCAAAGATGTTGCTAAGAAAAAAACGGTGAAAGGGAGAGACGTCAATCTCGACCGTTGTCAGGTGAGTGCTAACGACAGATCAAACTATGATGAACCCTATAGTCTTAAGTCCATCATTCTTAGTAGCAACGGCTGACAGCAATGATGATGATTTGCCACAGCAGTGTTCTATGCTTGGATTTCACTTACGATACTCTATATCTTATAAGTCTTATCAAGCTGCCATTATTTCTAACCTTGTAAGAACAAAGCAGACGTTCTCTTCATTTCATCCCGATCCTCGTCGCCCTCATGTTCGTGCTCGTCCTCGTCCTCGTTCTCATCCTCCTCGTTGCCATCATCGTGGTCGTCGTCGTCGCCCTCGTGCTCGTGTTCGTCCTGGTTCGCGTTCTCATCCTCGTCGTCGTCCTCGTCGTCGTCGTCGCCCTCTTGCTCGTGCTCGTCCTCGTTCGAGTCCTCGTCCTTATCGTCGTCATCGTCGCCCTTAAGCTCGTGTTCATCATCGTTCGCGTCCTCATCTTTGTCGTCGTCGTCGGTGTCGCCCTCTTGCTCATACTCGTCCTCGTCCTCGTCCTCATTCTCGTCCTCGTCCCAGGACTCCTTTCCTTCATCTCGTTCCCACAAGTCTTTTAGCCCACGTCCTTCTTCTGGTAATTCATCCTCATCTTCACCTGATGTCTCGTCTGCATGACGGTCATCATCAAGTTTCAAAGTTGTTGCATCTTCTGCTACACGAAAACATAGTGAAAACCGTTTCAGTAGCACGATAGCGCTATTGTTGTTGTCGTATAATTTAAGATGGAAAATAAATGTTTCTTTTAAATGCTTTATGTCACCTCTTTTCTTTTACTTAAAGAGTAAGGCCAGGAATTTGTCTTATGTCCTCGACAGGACAACAAGATAAATTAATAAAAACAAGGAACGAAGTGTCAACTGCAATGAATTTTCACCATACATGGAATTATATCTCTAAGGACATTGTTTCATGAAAAAGAAATAATGAGCAAGACAATGCAATACAGGTTTTTATGATGAAGATAATAATAACAAAAATAATGACGATGATGATGATAATGATAAGAGCATCAAAGAGGTACTGTGGTGAATTGCAACCTTGCAAAGAAAGCAGTGACCTGCTCTCATACAGAGCACGGAAGTGAACAATTCAAGACCATATTACACAAGTAATAGTGATAATAATAATAATAATAATAATAATAATAATAATAATAATAATAATAATATTTGATACATCTATTGCGATAACTATAGGTATATGATCAAATACGCATACACAAAAATGAAACCTATATAGAACAAAAGTTATACTACCTACTTTATTAACTGAAATTATTTACACTTTCAAATGCTACATCAATAATTTAGCATAACCAAAAACGAGCAAGAGAGAAAAAAAGGATATAAGAGTAGAAAATAAAAGAACCTCGCCGTACGCTTCTCTAAAATAGTAGGTCTTATTAAAAAGTTTCTTAAACTTATCGAAATTCTTCCCTTTCCTAATATAGTCCAGTAAGACGTTCCACATCATTGGAGCAGTTGCAGCAGATAATTAGGAGCCCATTATACAGTAGTATCCTTTATAACAGACGTCACTTAACTTTAATATATCCCGCTTTTTGTCTGGCTGATGTAACTACAGCTGTTACACATGATGGTGATGCAGGGGTGAAATCAGGCGGAAAGAAAGTAGCGGAGAAGCAAAGGGAGAACTGAAGAAGCCCAGTAGAGGCGGAAAAAACGACAGGCAAGGTGATGCAACTGGGGCACAGTAGCCTGTGTATAGCTAACCACTCCCTTTAAACAAATAAGGGAGCTTAAGCAAAGGCGTTTTTGAGCGACGCACATCAACCGGAAGTGACCTTTTTGCCGTTCATGGGCAGTGGTTGTGCCCACATTTTCGGGCAGATCGTCTCTATCAGAGTAAAGAAACTTAACAATACAAATTTGTTATAACTATCAAGGCATATCAAAAGAGAAAAGGCCTTACTTCCGGATTACGTGGGTTGCTCAAAAACGTCTTTGCTTAAGCTCCCTAATGTCACAGCAACAGTAACAGACAAAGACAGATATTGAGAGTTAAAGGATCAAAATATCTCACCATCCAAGCATGCAGAGCTGTCAGATATGTCATCCTCTTCCTGTGAATCCAGGTGACCATCTCCCTCAGAAGACACATCACTATCAGCATCTGAACCTTTCTTGCCCATCTGCTGCTTGTTTTGTCCAACATTGTGTTTGTCTCTCTTAGCTCTTTTGTCTGTGAAAGGAACAAGAAGTTCAGCTTCTAATGCACAACATACGAGGAAAGTCAAACGTTGACAATTACATATCCTTTTCATGCGGCCTAAAAATAGGTGCGGGTACACTTCCCATTTTATCCATGGGCAAATGGCTCTTGCCCACGGGGAAGCAACTTCTTGTGTGCGACCGATTTTCCCTGGGTGAAGTTACCTCGGGGAAATTTCCATGGATACATCAATCCGAACAAAAGAATTACCCATGACTGTTCCCGAGGTACCTAAAACGGCTCAACCAATCACAAGAGCTAGATTGAAACGTACCAAACAAGAAAAATCACGTGTTGTTTACGTGCTGAGTTCGTCATGGCGCCAAATCCAACGCGAACTACTGGGCTCAATGTTCGAAACCTTATAAAGCAGGATTTTGAGCGCTGCTGTGAATGTTTTTTCTATATTTTACACTTAATAAATTCAAAGGCACCTTAAAACACTACTAAGTTTTCTTTACATGTTTTCAAGAATTATTTCCTTATGAGGTCGTTCCAATATTTTTGTAAACCTGTACTTTTGACTTCTGAGCGAGAATTTGCTTTTCTTTAAGAAAAATAAAGTCAACCTCTTCCTTTTTAGTCTCATAATTAAAGGCTGAATCGCTCTTGCTACGCTTACATTGATGTGGGTCGGGTTTCATGTGAGACTTCAATGTTTACAACAACCTTTACCTCAAAACTTGGTTCTAAAATTTTCTTCCCTTTAGGCAATTTATCACTGTGTAACCGCAAACATGAAAGTCATCAATTACCCAGTGTGAACCCAACTCAAGTTATTTCCGCAATAAGAGCTTTGGGGGAAACGTCTAGAGTAACTGCACTTAATGTTTTGTATCTCGGATCCGAGTGGAACATCTAATACGTTTTGAAGTCGTTCATTTTAAGTTGATAGATGGTTTTCAACGGCCTGGGCTGTAAACCTCCTTGATACCATAAGTGGCATGTTTGGATCTAGGGTTTACAAAACTGAAAATAGCTTAATAAATCGCGGTGTTGAACTCAAACTGTAGTTTGTTTGAATAAGCAACCCAAAATCCGAAATTGTGTTTTCCTTCAAATTTCTTTTTGGATGTAGCTGACTTTTGATTTAGAACCCTTTTCTTTAAGACAATCGTCCAAACGCGAATTTTGCCTTTCTTTACTAAAACTAAAAACACGCTCCCAATAGATTTCGTGATAGATTAAATCTAAATCTGCATTTATGGATTCACAATTAATGAGTTTGTTTGGGTATGGGTCCAAAAAAATTACACCTGTCGAGCATTCTACGTTATTGCAGGCGTTTCAAACAAATATTTTTGGAACGCTGAAGAATCCCCCTCCGGGTTTTACTCACGTTCCTTTTGTCGCACCAAGTCCAAAGACTGTGAGATTGTGCAACGATTAAACCTTATCGGATTTTTTCCAAAGGAAAATCATTAAAAGTTAGCAGGAGGAGACATTTTTAACTTAACAATGATTTTTGCTTTACCTTCCTTACTACTGCCTTTATCATCATCCTCATCGTCATCATCTTCTTTCTTGGTTTGTGATAAATGCCTTTCAGCTTCATGAATCATCTGCAAGGACTAATAGGTTTTTTTATTAGAGTCAAACCTGCATAAAGAGATGTCTTACCAACGTCCCAAACATCGATTCCATGATTAATATATGTAAAATGTTTTGGAGTTTATCAAATTAAATCATTTATAAAGATTATATGAACTTTATATATTGGAACTGCATGCGGAAGAAAACATGCAAAGGCGATCTTCACAGTTTAAGACGCAACTTATACTGCTGTGAAAAAAAAAATTGAAAACTTCAACCTTTTAAATTTTTAAAGAACACCAACGCGATAAACCTTAAAGACTGCGTAAAATCTATCCAGAAGCAATATAATTTCCATAATAAATTTTTTTGCGTCTGTTAGCAGTCCTTCATGTACCTTATTTGGTGCTTTGTTGAACCAGTGCTTGTCGGCTCTAATGTCCAGAGCACGTTGCTGGTAGTCCTTGGCTCGCTCAAAGTCATCTAAATCATGGTAAATCAAAGCTAAGTTACAGTAGCTTGTTGCAACATTAACATGTTCCGGGCCGAGCTTGTCCACTTTAATGTCCAGAGCACGTTGCTGGTACTCCTTGGCTCGCTCAAAGTCACCTAAATCATGGTAAATCAAAGCTAAGTTACTGCAGCTTGTTGCAACACTAACATGTTCCGGGCCGAGCTTGTCCAGCTGAATGTCCAGAGCACGTTGCTGGTACTCTTTGGCTTGCTCAAAGCCACCTAAATCATGGTAAATCGAAGCTAAGTTATTATAACTTCTTGCAACATTAACATGTTCCGGGCCGAGCTTGTCCAGTTTAATGTCCAGAGCACGTTGCTGATACTCCTTGGCTTGCTCAAAGTCACCTAGATCCTGGTAAATCGAAGCTAAGTTATTATAACTTCTTGCAACATTAACATGTTCCGGACCGAGCTTGTCCAGGGTAATGTCCAGAGCACGTTGCTGATACTCCTTGGATTGCTCAAAGTCACCTAAATCCTGGTAAATCAAAGCTAAGTTATTATTCATTGTTGCAACATTAATATGTTCCTGGCCGAGCTTGTCCACTTGGATGTCCAGAGCACGTTGCTGATACTCCTTGGCTTGCTCAAAGTCACCTAAATGGTAGTAAATCGTAGCTAAGTTACTATAGCTTGTTGCAAAATTAACATGTTCCGGGCCAAGCTTGTCCAGTTTTATGTCTAGAGCACGTTGCTGATACTCCTTGGCTTGCTCGAGGTCACCTAAATCCTGGTAAATTGAAGCTAAATTATTATAGCTTCTTGCAACATTAACATGTTCCGGGCCGAGCTTGTCCAGGTCAATGTCCGGAGCACGTTGCTGATACTCTTTGGCTTGCTCAAAGTCACCTAAATGCTGGTAAATCGTAGCTAAGTTATTATAGCTTCTTGCAACATCAACATGTTCCGGGCCAAGCTTGTCCAGTTCGATGTCTAGAGCACGTTGCTGATACTCCTTGGCTTGCTCAAAGTCACCTAAATGCTGGTAAATTGAAGCTAAGTTATTATAGCTTCTTGCAACATCAACATGTTCCGGGCCGAGCTTGTCCACTTGGATGTATAGAGCACGTTGCTGATATTCCTTGGCTTGCTCAAAGTCACCTAAATGCTGGTAAATCGTAGCTAAGTTATTATAGCTTCTTGCAACATCAACATGTTCCGGGCCAAGCTTGTCCAGTTCGATGTCCAGAGCACGTTGCTGATACTCCTTGGCTTGCTCAAAGTCACCTAAACCCGTGTAAATCAAAGCTAAGTTATTATAGCTTCTTGCAACATCAACATGTTCCGGGCCGAGCTTGTCCAGGTCAATGACCACAGCACGTTGCTGATACTCCTTGGCTTGCTCAAACTCACCTAAATCCTTGTAAATCGAAGCTAAGTTACTATAGCTTCTTGCAACATGAACATGTTCCGGGCCGAGCTTGTCCAGGTCAATGTCCAGAGCACGTTGCTGATATTCCTTGGCTTGCTCAAAGTCACCTAAATCCTGGTAAATCGAAGCTAAGTTATTGTACTTTGTTGCAACATCAACATGCTCCTGGCCGAGCTCTTGAAGCTTAAAAGTGAGTGAATATTGAAAATATGTTTTTGCTTCTTTGAACTCACAGTGCATTTGACAAATATTTCCAAGGTTTTCGCATTTTTCGGAAATCTCCTTATCATGAACTTGAGAGAAATTATCTCTCAAAAACACTTTGTCAGTTACTGTAGTTAAAGCTTTCAAATGTGGAGCGATGTGTCTGGTGTTTGGTCGCTTACTCTCTGGTGGAGTTGCGACGATAAATTCGTTAAATGATGTAATGACCCTACTAACGACCTCATCGGTTTGGCTTTCTGGATACTCTTTTACTACAGTTTTTATAGCATCATGCACAACCTGGTGAAGTCGAAGAAAACAGCCACCCTCGTCATCTTGGAAGAGCAGAAGTGAGCTTCTTTTTAATCTCATGCGAATTAATTCTTTGTCCGCTTCATCAAACTCTTCATGTGCGTTCATGATGTAACTAACTGCTATGTCGACGTTCAATGGTCGTGGAGCGCAGAGGGCAAGAAAAGTGAAAAGGTGTTTTTGAACTTTGTCGGATCTCATCTGTGTTTCGACGGCTAACGTTATTGCTTTGGTCATTGAATTTGGGTAAATTGGATTGGTGTCGACAAATGCATCCTCCGTTTTCTGTCTTTTGCCCTTTTCTAAGATCTTTAGGTATTCCTCCCACCCAAAATGCGTTGATGCTTTGTCCTGCCGAATCTCTTTAACAAAGACGGCAGCGCCTGCCAAAGCAAGGGGCTGGTAATCCAGTCTTTGTGCTACTGTTCCTACCAGCTCGCTATCTGGGGTACCAGAAAGTTTGGACAATAATGAAAGGGCATCATCGGGCTCCATACCTTGGCTTACTGAGATGTGATTAACGAAAGAGCTTTTTGAGGGAATTGATGTTGTGTCCTGCGTTGTAATCAGCAAATGGCCTCTTTCCCAAGCCTTTGAATTAAACTGTGGTAAATGGACGTGCACAGATGACATGGTAGTGACATTGTCAACCACCAGTAACCACGACGTGTAACAAGTAATTTTTACAGCGACAAGCATCTTAAGACGAGTGATCTTTTCGTCGACGGTCGAGTCCTTTGAGCTGAGGGTTTCCGCAATTGAATAGTCTGGGCACTTTAAATGGCGAGCAAATGAGGCATACGACTCCAGAAGTGAATCTAGACTTGCAGCATTTAAGGTCATTACAAATGATGACCCACCTGGCATTTCTTTGAGGTCGTCGAAGAATCTCTCAGCTACAAGGCCAGCTAGTTGTGACTTTCCGCTTCCAGGATTCCCTGAGATGTATAGATAACTCAACCTGTTGTCACTGGACTCATTAAGTTCCCTCAGCTGTTGGACTACTTTTGCTACTTCCCTTTCATGACCACCGATTTCATGCAAAGGTTTAGGAGGGAGAACACAGAATAAGGGGGCTTCGTTTTGGAGCTGATTTTCAAGGACCTGGCGCTGACTCTCTTTTTCTTGAACTTCTTGTTTCAGATTATCAACTACTTTCAAGACCTTTGTTAAATCTTTTGTTGGAAATGTTTTCTGACATTTTAGGTCTTGAATTTTTACAGTGGGAAGACTAAGCGCTTGAAACGCAACATCAACTTTGCTAATAGCATTCTGAAAATCTATCTCAGGGAGACTACCTTGTGGCATGTGAGCGAATTCTTCATTCCTGAAATTTCGTAGATCATCCACATTTTTACTGACTATTGCGCTAAGACGTGGCCCAACGCAATCAGAGAAAAGGATAGCGTAAAACAGCATTGTACAATCCCATTCCCCTCTGTTTCCATTTTTCATAGTGTCCAAAAGACGAGCGTTTCTTTTTTGATTTCGAGGAGACTCTCCGTGATAAAAGTCCATTCCATTACGAGGCTCGTCTTTCCATTCTCCTTTTGTTGATTTGTACAGTTTGTCCCATTCTTGTTTAAATATTTCTCTCAGACCCTCCGCTAGTATATCAGTAGTTACACAACAAATTCTGTAATAGTTCAGCTGTTCATCGGTATATTCGTTTAAAGAGGTCATATTTAAAGCACCTCTGATGCTTGGAACCTTTTAGGGAAATGAATCCTTCAGTTAGCAAATTAGTTCAGAGGGGGAAAAATTATCAGTGACGTAGATAACGCGGTGTATGAAGTAAAAACATTGACTTTTTAACACAAGCATGTCGGGGCATGACCAAAACCCAAATTTGCTAGTCTATCAGTAGTTAGGTAACAAATTCTGTAATAGTTTAGCTGTTCCTCGGTATATTCTTTTGAAGATGCCATACTTGATGTACGTCTGATGCTTCAATCTTTGGGGAAAGATTTTCTCTGCAATTAGTGACAACATACCAGGGGGTAATACCCTTTGTAAGCTTTGTAGGTGTGTGCTACAAACGGTACGGTTTTTTTTAACCGTTTTGGTCTCATGAAAACGGATCAGCCCATTAGAGTCGCAAAATGGGTACCGTTTTCAATGAAACCACAAGGGTTTATTAACGTATTTTTGCAGAAAAAGTTATGGAACGATTTAGGTTCCTAGGAAACTGCCCACCTACCCCTCCCTAAGCCATCATTTTGCCCTAAGTGAGAAGTAAGTGTTAATGTTAGCTTAGGGGAGGGGTAGTTGGGCAGTTTCCCAGCAACCTAAATTAATCCAAACTCTTCACAGTCAGATACTATACTAAATGATGATAAAAAAAGGCTAAAGATAGTTTGACTTCACTTGGACGAGGTAATGGGTTCCCAAACCGAGTATAACGTTTAGAGCCGCTCTGACAATCAGTAGGCATTTTAGAGGGGGGGGGCGGGGGGGGGGGCTTTCTCGAAAGTCTCAGTAACTAGAAGGACTAATTTTATGCCCTTTCCATTAGATCATCTTTTTTTTTTTCTCCCTATTTTACCACCACTCCTTTATTTGCAGCCTGCAGAACAGCCGCTATTTTAGGGGGGCACAAAGCGTGGGTGGAGAGCGAGACACGCGCGGCTGGTGAAAGCGCTCTCTCGCGCTCCGCGCTCGCCTCGCGCATATTTTCACTCGCCTAAAAAACGTGTTCTGCAGGCTACTTTATATTCAGTTGCCATTTCCAGTTGAGTAGGATTTACTTCACACTAGAAATATTTTAACTAAACTAAGGCCAAATACTTGTAGGACATAACTATGCAAAACAGTCCGTCATGCTTCATCTGTAGAGATTCTCGATGAAGATTAAAAAGATTAGGTGGTAAACGAACGATCAGAACATAAAGCTTACGGCTTTTGGTTTCTTTTTGAAAAGTTTTACAAGATCTAAAGAGAGTTAACGTCAAAACGTTGCTTCTAATTGCGCTATAGTTCTTTTGTATTGGCTCTACGTTATTGCTGCAGGTCGAAGTTTGTTTTCACTTCATTTTGCTTCCAGAAAGTTCCAAAACCATAGTTTAATTACTTCGGCTTCTCGAATGATGAACCGAAACAGTAAAAATGATCACAAAAAGACTATCATTCCTTACCATTTGCTGCGAAAGTCTCCATTCGACGTTCTTTAATTTTTAAACAGCCTCATGGTTTGAATAACCGACATGGAAGTTTCTGCATCATTCAATCCTACCACGTAACTGAACATGCCATTTTTTATACAAAGTAAAGGTTTTTTGACCGCGTGTAGAGATACGGCAGCTGATTGCATTATTTTTCTGACCGTTTGGAACTCCTGACTCAGGCAGCAAACTTCGAAGATACCAAGTCTTTATAAGGTATCATTGAGCTTCCGCTGGAATGACGAAGGGAATTTTAGGCGTGACGACTATTTTTATCTTCAACATTTTTCAAATATGCATTACTGACCAAGCGTGAAGTCAATACGACTGGATATATGGCCAAATTCCTTTTTTTGCATTTTGCTAGACTTTCTAGAAGTCCTTTATTTTCTCCTGGTTGGTTATGCCATGAGACTTCGTCGCTTGCTGCGCGTCCTCATGCATTGAAGCTCGCTTTGCTCACTTTTAAGAACTTATGAGTGGTCGACTTGTAGCAAGTCTAGCATTTTGTTTACAGAGACGAAGTCCAGGCAAATGAAAAAAGAACGACGCCGATATCCAGTTATCTTGACCGAACAAGCTTGGTCAAAAAAGGGTTTATTTATTTTATGGACAAATTACCGTGGTTTTGATTCACAACGGTTTGTCTCGCTGTTATTTAGTAACTTACGAGTATGCAGGCCACCAAGACACTGATTTATCTCATTTTCTCGCTTACGTTTCCCAGCGTCCTTTGCGTAAACGCTTAACGTTCCCATGCCCTTCCTAATTTCTTTTGCGCGCAACTCCACGAGCAACTAACTGTCAAAGCAACTGACGAGGGAAACCATTTTAGATTTCCCAAACCGGTCTTGCTATTTAAAACAGTTCTTAAAATAAACGCCACCTGGTTGGCTCAGTTGGGAGAGCGCCGGTCTGTTGAGCGGGAGGTCACGGGTTCGAACCCCGGCCGGACCAACACTCGGGGTCTTTAACTAAGAAGAAAGTGCTGCCTTTGTAATGACATCTGCCAACGGTTAGACTTTCTAGACTTCTCGGATAAGGACGAAAAACCGTAGGTCCCGTCTCACAACAATTACACTTATTTAGTTCTTGTGGGACGTACAAGAACCCACACCGCTGTTCGAAAAGAGTAAGGGACGTAGACCCCGGTGTTGTGGTCAACCTACACACATCACATCATTCACATCAATGGTTGGGTGGGTACAGTAAGATCATAAATGGACTGAGAGCGAGCGGCTGCCAGTGGCGCCTTTGTATGCTTACGTCCGAACTTACTGTTCATGATCACATGTTAAAATATATTTTAGGAGGGCACGTCTGTTGTTCTCATACACGACTCTTCATTCTTTCACTCGTTCATTCATTCATTCATTCATTCATTCATGCATGCATGCATGCATGCATGCATGCATTCATTCATTCATTCATTCATTCATGGTCCACCGCACGATACTATCACCCGCAGTCGCGTTTTGAGGAAAGTTGAAATTCTGAAATTTCTATGATTTACAAACTAAAAACAGTTAACCAATTAAGTTTGAAGGGCATTGGCTCGCTGAGAAGCGAGAAGTCTTACTTTTAGTTTTCATACAAATGCTTCTACGTTTTCCCGCTAACGGCGGCTCCATTTTACAGACAAATATCTTCTTGAAAATCGTCAAATTAGTTGTTTTACCAATTTAATGTTGCAGTACGTTTGCTGGGCTGCACGTAACTGCAAAAGAGCTGGGGCTAGGAGAAAGCATCGCTGATAAAGTTGCACAGCGCCTCCCACATTCATTTCGTAAGATGAGAGTTATTTTCCGTAATCACATCCGCTGGACTGTTATACTGGATTTTTGGGCCTTCACATTTAATGCTAGGATTGACAGCGACTCATGAACTATAAAAAAAATCAAATTTACAAATTGATCGGTGAAATGATAAACTGGAGTTTGCTCCTGATATTTAATGCTAGGATTGACGATCATTGAGTACAAAACAAACTACGAGTAAATGAAAGTCTGTACCTGCACCGGAAAACAAATGCAGTTTGCCGTGGCTAACCCTTTTACCCGTCTGTCGCCAAGTGGAAACATGTTTATGTGAAAAAGATTATGGTCTCAAGACTTCCAAGATGAACCATGGAAAATACTTAGTGGTTAGCAAATTACCATAGAGTTGAGTTCTGCCTCTTCCGAACTTTGCGGCTCGACTAGAAGCATGTCCAAAGTAATGTCAGTAAGTAAATTTATTGAAAAATCTTTTACGCACTATTTGATTAGTCAAATCTGTATTGTTGGAAGAAACTATTATAAGCTCTGTCCCTAATGCTTAATGTTTTGAAGCTGTAACGAAAACTTCTTAAACATAAAGTCCTGCATCTGTTGCGATTACGTACAGAACAACTATATTAAGTAATTGTAGAAAAGTACGATGTTGCGCTGAAAGATATATGGTGCTTTTTAAAAATTTCATTGTGCCTAAGCCTAAACTTGTTTTTAATTCAGCCTAGCTGCCTAGCCCGGATTTTTATGCACGGATCGGCGGATTTGCATACCTTTATTCACCCCCCTCATGAAGATTATATAGTTTCGATGGTAAACGAACAATCAAAACATAAAGCTTATGGCTTTTGGTTTGTTTTTGAAAAGTTTTACAAAGATCTAAAGAGACTAAAAGTCAACAACTTACTTCCAAGTGCGCAATAGTTCTTTTGTACTGGCTCTACGTTATTGCCGCAGGTCGAAGCTTGTTTTCACTTCATTTTGCTTCCAGACCGTTCCAAAACCAGAGCTTACTTGGGCAGCTCGAATAATGGACCGAAACAGTGAAAAATGGTCACAAAAAGGCTACCATTCCTTACACATTCCTTTTTTGACCGCGTGTAGAAACACTGCTGCTTATTGTATTATTTTTCTTACCGTTTGGAACTCCCGACTCAGGCAGCAAATTTCGAAGAAACCAAGCCTTTATAAGGTATCATTGAGCTTCCGCTGGAAAGACGAAGGGAAACAGGCTGTCAAAACGAAAGCGGAAGGTTTTAAGGCGTGACGACTATTTTTATTGTCATCATTATTCCTTTCAAATATGCATTACTGATCAAGCGTGAGGTCAATATCACTGGATATATGGCCAAATTCCTTTTTTTGCATTTTGCTATACTTTCTAGCAGTCCTTTCTTTTTTCCTGGTTGGTTCTGCCACGAGACTTCGTCGCTCGTTCAGTCGCTGCGCGACCTCAAGCATTAAAGCTCGTCTTCGGTCACTTTTAAGAACTTATTAGAGGTTGACTTGTAGCAAGTCAAGCATTTTGTTTACCGAGACGAGTCGAGGCCAATAAAAAAAGAACGACGCCAATATCCAGCTATCTTGACCAAAGAAGCTTGATCAATATAGGATTTATTTTATGGCCATATTTCCGTGGTTTTGATTCACAACGGTTGGTCTTGCTGTTACTGTATTTATTCGAATAAGCGCCCAACCTCGAATTAGCACCCACCTCGAATAAGCGCCCATCCTAAAGGGAGAAAAAGTTAAT